CCGTACTTCAGTTCGAACTTCAACAGGCGCAACCCCATTTTCCCTAGTTTATGGTATGGAAGTCGTACTCCCCGTGGAGGTTGAGATTCCGTCTATGAGAGTGTTGATGGAAGCTAAACTTTCTGAGGCTGAATGGTGTCGAAGTAGATATGATCAGTTGAATTTAATTGAAGAAAAGAGATTGACAGCTTTGTGTCACGGTCAATTGTATCAACAGAGAATGAAGAAGGCTTTTGATAAGAAGGTTTGACCACGCGAGTTCAGAGAAGGTGACCTTGTGCTCAAGAAGATATTATCTTTCCAACCTGATTCTAGGGGCAAGTGGGCTCCGAATTATGAAGGACCGTATGTCGTTAAGAATGTTTTCTCTGGAGGTGCTTTGATTCTCACCAATATGGACGGTGAAGAGCTCCCGCGTCCCTTGAACGCTGATGCAGTCAAGAAGTATTTCGCTTAGGTTTGAGTTGTCAGTTTGCTAAGTTGAAAACCCGAAGAGGCGGCTTAGGCAAGCTTTTGGTCAGACCAGCCTTGGCATTTGAACACATTTCGGAATTCTAAGTTGTTAGGGAGAATAGTGATCATTGTTTTTTGTGTAACCTTTTTCTTTCATGTACTATTTCCCAAACTTTTGTAAACCGTTGGAGTCGCATTGTTAGCGAACTACCATCTTATTAATGAAATTTGAGCATTTACCTTTTGTGGGCAAAATTTTAATTTTTACGGCAATATTTGAAACAAAGTTATTCAAAGTATTTTTATTTTTAAAATGTGTCATAAATAACGAAAGGAATATTAACAGTTTGTTACGAGGATGGTCAAGCCATGAAATGCAAAACAATACAGTAATTTATTCTTGCATGATGAACATGTTTCGTTTCAAAATCGTCATGAGGTGTTGGTTGTGTTAAACTTGCGTTTCTCGCGGTACTAAGTTTGGTGACTCCCCAGTTGTTCCAGTTAAGCGTTGTTTTGGCTACCTTTATTTAAGCAATTTCTGAAGTGTGGTACGCTTTGTCTCATGCCAGTGGTCTATTGGTGTTAGAAAATTGGTTTTGATACTTTTCTCCTCAGAAGATTTGAACCTTGTGGCGTGTTACACTCCGACGTTGCTTTGGAGTTCCAATTCCAGTTATTTTCCGTCTTTTTAAGATTGGCCGAGTATCTATTATGCCGTGACATCTTATTGTCTTCAAGATATTCCATCTGTTTGCTTTGTCAGCATAACATTCATTTTTTCATTTACACTTATATCACGCATGCATATCCACATTTGCCGTTGATTTTGGTTGTACTCTGTTTATTCGAACAACGTACATGTTTCTTTCCAAGTAGAAGGTTAGCTTAGGCAGAAAATGTGCTTCCTTTCTAGATTCCCCAACTGAGCTAATCCTCATGGATGATTTTTGATTTAGCCTACCCTGTCCATTTCTGGATAGGGTGAATCCCCAATCAAGTTATTTTCTCATTGGGTGGAGTCTTGTTTGACTGTTTTCTCTCTAGTTATTCCTGGATGAAGTTGTTGTCTCTTGCGTAGGCTATCTCATGGTTTTCCCCAGTGAAGTCACGACCTAGACGAATGGTGCATTTATTTTGCACATTTAAGTATGTGATCTCCTCGGGAAGGATTGATTCATGTTTCTCTTTGACGAAGATTTTATTCTCTGCCAGTGTCATCGCAATTTCCCTCTGAATTATTTTTGGAAAACGACAAGCGGCAGCTCTTCACGAGCAACTTGTGTGTTATTATTATTGGAAAACGACAAGCGGCAGTCTCTTCATGAGCAACTTGTACGTTATAGACATCGTTGGAAAACGACAAGCGGCAACTCTTCACGAGCAACTTGTGTGTTATTATTATTGGAAAACGACAAGCGGCGGTCTCTTCATGAGCAACTTGTACGTTATAGACATCGTTGGAAAACGACAAGCGGCAGCTCTTCACGAGCAACTTGTGCGTTATTATTGTTATTGGAAAACGACAAGCGGCAGCTCTTCACGAGCAACTTGTGCGTTATTATTATTGGAAAACGACAAGCGGCGGTCTCTTCATGAGCAACTTGTACGTTATAGACATCGTTGGAAAACGACAAGCGGCAGCTCTTCACGAGCAACTTGTGCGTTATTATCATCTTTGGAAAACGGCAAGCGGCAGTCTCTTTATTTGAGCAACTTGTACATTATTATTTTTCTGGAATACAGCAAGTGGCAGCTTCTTTATTTGAGCTGCTTGTATGTTATTGGTATTTTCTTTGGAAAACGACAAGCGGCAGCTCTTCACGAGCAACTTGTGCGTTATTATTATTTTTGGAAAACGACAAGCGGCGGTCTCTTCATGAGCAACTTGTACGTTATAGACATCGTTGGAAAACAACAAGCGGCAGCTCTTCACGAGCAACTTGTGCGTTATTATCATCTTTGGAAAACGGAAAGCGGCAGTCTCTTTATTTGAGCAACTTGTACGTTATTATTTTTCTGGAATACAGCAAGTGGCAGCTTCTTTATTTGAGCAGCTTGTATGTTATTGGTATTTTCTTTGGAAAACAGCAAGTGGAGGCTTCTTTATTTGAGCAGCTTGTGTGTTATTGACATCCCTGGACGACAGCAAGTGGCAGCCTCTTTATTTGAGCAGCTTGTATGTCATAATATTTTTGGAAGACAGCAAGTGGCAGCCTCTTTATTTGAGCAGCTTGTATGTCATAATATTTTTGGAAGACAGCAAGTGGCAGCTTCTTTATTTGAGCAGCTTGTGTATCTACAATCTTATTATCTCAGCATCAATGAGTATATCTCTGGAAATCTCGCAGAGAAGTTTGTTGTGAATCATTACCTTCAGAAGTCGGTAGTCCATCATCAGCAAAATTTGATACTCTCTGTCTATCTTTGACTTTGAGTTGTGAACTCACTGTTTTTGGGTCGATAATCTGTCTCATGGCCTATGCAAGATGCCTTCTTTGTTAAGGTCAGAGGTCGTATTCCCTCAATTTTATTCGCCGTCAAGAGTCTGTCATTTGAAGTCGATGGCTCGTTTCCCCAGTAGTGTATAATCCACGTCTCTGTGTTTTGTTGGTGTTTGATTCCTCCAGCATTGTCTTGTTTCATACAATAATCTTCTCTGTGAATTCAATCACTACATTCATATCGAACATAATGGCGGTATCTTAGGGCAAAAATTTGCGTATTATCTATTTAAGTACCTTCAATCTCGTCGAAACGAAGATTTTAATCTTCATATCTCCGGATAGAAGAAACTTAAATAGGGGCAGCTGTTGTACCCCAAATTTTGACCTAAGATACCATCTCCCATCTGCATCATTACATTGCAAGCGTTTTGATCTATTGATTTCAAAAATTCATAACTTCTTCGAATTTCGACATTTTTGAGAGGTTGTTATTGCACATGATTTTCCTTGACATCATCTACAACTTTTCTTTACAAGTCAAGGGCAAATTATGCATTGAGAAGCCACGAAAAATTGTTAACGTTAGAAGTCGTTTCAGGAATTTGATTCTTAATTTTGGACTATGTTTTGTCCGACCATACATTTTACATCATCTTTCTTTTATTCTTATTTCCATAAAAAAGAAAATCCTAAAAAATATTTAGTTCATGCTATTTTCATTTTATTTATGTTTTTATTCAAAATATTCAAAATAAAAAAAATTAGTTTCCTTAAGTTTCATTTAGTTTTTATTCTTGTATCGTTTAAGCTCAAATTATAATCTTTTAGATTTAATTTAGTAAAAAAATCTCAAAAATATGTGTTATCATTATTTTATTTTAGCATTTCACTTTAATTCAAAAATCATAAAATATATAGTTTCTTTTAGTTATTATAATTTTTGCTTCTTTCTTTCAATATTAGTCTTGATTTGATTCTAATTTTAATTCAATTTTTAAGTTGGGTTATTGTTAAAATTAAAATTAATTATAATTTCTTTTTTATTGTTCTTGGCAAATTTTAGTTTAATCCTTTTCCTTTTCCTTTTATTATTATTATTATTATTATTATCATTATTATTATTATTATTATTATTATTATTATTATTATTATTATTATTATTATTATTATTATTATTATTATTATTATTATTATTATTATTATTATTATTATTATTATTATTATTATTATTATTATTATTATTATTATTATTATTATTATTATTATTATTATTATTATTATTATTATTATTATTATTGTGTTTCAATAGTTTTTGTTGTTTTGTCATAATAAGAAATCAGTTTGGGACCATTCTCTTCATGCTATAATATATCCATGTTATGCTGCTGTCAACTAGTCATGCTGCTGCCCTGTACTAAAACTTGCTACCAACCTGTCATAACAGTCCAAAAAAACGGTAACGTAATATAATGTTTATTCAAAAACCAAACTTGTTCACACCAAAAAAATCAGATTGTCCCATTATAAAGGAGAATACATTGCATCAGAAGAAAAACACCATTCTACAACACATAAATCCTCATATACATCAACCTGCACATTGAATCATGATCAATTGCAAAGCATAATAGAAAACTAATATCAAGTTATAATCTGCTAATAACAGTTTTCTGTTACTTTTATATTATTCTGCAATGGCATATACCAAGAAAACCGCGTAACAGCAACATCGACAATATTTAAGAACACAAACTAAAGCAATCGGATATAGGAGGAATCCAAGAAAATTCAGACACTTACTAGTGAAGCTGAAAGACCTGTGGGAGGAACGCCAATTTGGTATCTTCCTTTTCCTTTATACACATCTCATTTTGTGATTCCATTAGTTTGTTGTGTTGGTTTTCTTCATTGTTGTTCATGATCATTGTTGATTGTTGTTGGATTATGGTTAGAAGGAGGTGATGAACATAAAAAAAAATGAAAATCATAAAGCCCTATTATGTTATTGTGGTTGTATAAATTGTTATTGCATAATTCAATATTTTCCTCTGTTTAAACAAAACTGAACAACGACGACAACACCGCTATCTCTCGCTGTTTATGCCATCACCATTACATACTCCCACATCTATAAACTCCTTCCGTCGAACTCCCATCGTGATACTTCCAACCAAATGCGGTACCAGCTTAGTGGACACGCCCTGCATACTCCCTCTGAACTTTCCTCGTTCCCCTTGTGATTTCCACCTCTGTATTCAACCTTGCTCCGACCGCCGCGAGCAGCTCAATATCTCACCGCCTGTTGGACTTCTTCCGGCCCTCGGAATCTCATTGATTGCCCCGACTTATCAACTCCCCTAGTTCTTTGAAGCAACAAACTCCACCGATTCACCCAGTAAATCCTTCACGTCAGTTAGGTGATGGTGGAAGCATACCATTTGTTGCCTTTATCCAGCCTGAATCTCAAAACTCTCCTTCGATATCTATTTGGCTTGTTATTGTGGGAGGCGTTTCTTCTGATTGATTATTCTCACAGAAGTTTAGATGCCAAACATGAAACTTTTGACTCTGGATCTGGTCTTATACACTTGAGTATTTTTGCAGCTTCCATGGGTTTGATAATCTTGGAACCAGTCTTTGTTCATTACGGTTTAGGAAGGTGTTACAGATGAAAAGAGAGAGAGTGGAACTGTGAAAGAGTTTTCTTTCTTTTTTCTGCGTTTGGTGGAGTGAGAACAACAAGAACTGAGAAAGATCAAGGTGTTGATACGGTTGAGAGAGAGAGGATTATACGTTTTTTTTGTTTCAACCTTTTTTTTTTGTCTGTTTATTTAACAAGTAACCATGTTAATAATATTAATTATTTCCTTTCCCTTTCCCATAGCCAGCGGCGCCTCATTATTATCAGGGTTTTCTAAAAAACCTTTCTATTCTTCTCCCAAACCGGGTCAACCCTTTGGGCCTTTTAGCCCAATCCGATTATAATCATTCCCTTTATATTTCAGTAAAGACGTAGTAATAACAAATAAGCAATACAATTCAGTTGGTAAGACACGTTTGCTCTAACCTAGAGAACCTGAGTTCAACTCTCAGCTAGGCCAATTTTTTCTTTTTTTCTTGACTCTTTAACCTTATTCCAAAAAATTAGTAAATCTTATAATTAATTTAGTTTAGTATTAATTTAGAATTCTTTAATTAATTTAGATTTATTTTATAACTTTATTTGTTTTAGCTTTAGTTTAGTAAACTTTAGAATTTTATGTGTTGTAGTATTATTTTAGTAAATTTTAGAATTTTATTTGTTTTAGTTTTGACTTAGTAAATTTTAGAATTTTATTTGTTTTAGTTTTGACTTAGTAAATTTTAGAATTTTATTTGTTTTAGTTTTGACTTAGTAAACTTTAGAATTTTATTTTGTTTTAGTTTTGACTTAGTAAACTTTAGAATTTTATTTTGTTTTAGTTTTATTTTAGTAACTTTAGGATTTTATTTCATTTAGATTTGACTTAGTAAATTTTAGAATTTTATTTGTTTTAGTTTTAATTTAGTAAACTTTAGAATTTTATTTGTTTTTATTTAAGTTAACTTTAGAATTTTAGTTGTTAGTTTTAGTTTAGGGACTTTAGAACTTTATTTGATTTAGATTTAGTTTAGTAATTTTGGAACCTTTTTTTGTTTTAGATTAGCAACCTTGAATTTTTATTTAGTAGATCTAATTTTCTAATATTAAAATTTTAATTTAGTTTAGATCTAGCGTAGCAATTTTAGAATTATTTTTATAACTTTAGATAACAAATTAGTTTAGAATTATTTTAGTAAGTAATCTTATAATTTTGACTTAGATAATTAGTTCCCTTTTCTTCTATTTAAATATCTTTGTCATTTTAATTTCTCGATGCTTTTGGTCATTAATCTGTTTCATTAGATTTGTTTTCTTGTGAATTTTTGAATGCTTATACTTTGTGGATTCATCTTATTTTACTTGCTCGACACCAATCCAAGGGAATTGTCTAATTTTTTGTCGACTTTATGTCATCAAAAAAAACATCGTGCGAATACCCTCATTCATCAAAAACTTAAGATAATTTTTCCAGATCTTCAATCTTTTCAAAACTTATACCTTTTAAGTCAAAACTTCGACATTAGGTCGTCGTACCTTCAAAAACCCGTCCGTACCCCCTTTCGGCCAAAACAATTTATTTTTTAATCGAACGAACAATTTTAATAAACAGATATTTCAAAAGGTTCCTATAGAGTACTATAGATACATTGGGTGCTAATACCTTCCCACTGTATAACCAACCCCCGAACCATAGATCTCTTTTCAAAAACGCCTTGTATTTTTATTACTTTTTAGAAAGTATTATTTTACATTGCATATTTAGGGTTTTATTTCGCTCTTTTCCCTCTTCCTTTGGAAACAATAAAGCGCGATGGAGACTCTTGCTTTTGTGAGACGAATTAATCAATAATTTGATCTCCGATTTACCCCGCTACATTTTTTATCGCTACAGAATTGGCGACTCTGCTGGGGAAAGATTGACCTCTTGCTGGTCCATCCCTAAGTGGGTTAAGCCTAATTTTTCTTATCTGTTTTATTATTATTCGTTTTGTTTGATTATGTGTTTAATTTTGGGTGTTTGGGTTTTTTTGCAAAGGACGAATCCTATACCCGGATTAAGTAACACTTAAGGAATAGGACGGGCGGTACAGTCATGTTAACTTTGAGGGAGTAATCCCGAAGAAGGAGGCATGAGATCCCCCACTCAATGGAAGGCCCTCTTGAACTTAATATTTGTTTACCGAGTAATCGGGAAGAAATTATTATTTTCGACCTAGGAGCCCGAGAAGTTGAGCACCGTAGAACCCTAACCCATCTTGGCCTTTTAGGTGTAGCGCGGAGACTATAACGGAGTAATTCGGAAGTAGTTGTTACGCGATGCTACGCTCGGACGAGTTTCTCTTGAGAATATTGCTAATTATTGAGTAATCAAGACGTTGGTAATATCCGAAGGAGGAATGTAGACTTTGGGAACTCTTAGAACCTTGTCTTACAGGTGTGATTGAACCGTTAGTACATACCTTGGGGTGGGCTTTACCCTCGACTCCATGCTGAAACGTTGAACCTTTGAACCCCTATGTTTGTGAACTTGTGTGTAATTGTTGCATTATCATTCATCCATGCATCCATCAACATTTTTTGAAAAAAAACTATCAAAATGAACGATCATTTGCATCGCATATCATGCATCATCTAACATTTTTTCGTAACGCCTGGATTGGCTTGCCAAAACTGGATAGCTGTTGATGTTCCCGTGGTTATGCATATTTCCGAGTAATGTTTTGTTTATTTTCCTTTGAAAAATTCGCTCTGCCCAAAGCGAAACGTATTTGGTGTCGGGCTATGAAAAATAATTCCTTTTGCTCTGCCCGAGGCAAAAGAGAGATGTCTGGGCTCTTTGTTTCAAGTATTTCCCTTTAATGAATAAAAATGTTATTTTGTCCACTACCGTTTTATTTTTTACTTTTTCGGGGAAATAGTAATGAAAATTAACTTAATAACCTTTTGTTTTATTTGCACAAATCGATTTCTAAAATAAAGCATAATCATATGTGCAGATTAATCCATGACTTAACCATCGAAAACAATGATCCTATGCCCTCTCCCAACTTTGAATTCCCTGTGTTCAGAGCCGAAGAAGAGGATGATGAAGAGGTTCCTGTTGAAATTTCCCGTTTGCTTGAGCATGATGAGAAGATTATTCAACCATTTGAAGAACCTGTAGAGTTGGTCAACTTGGGTGATGAAGAGGTTAGAAAGGAAGTCAAAGTCGGAGCATTGCTTATCCCAGAAGTCAAGGAGAAGATGTTGGAGCTTCTCAAAGAGTATGTTGACGTGTTTGCTTGGTCCTACCAAGATATGCCAGGGTTGGACAATGACATTGTGGAGCATCGTTTACCGTTGAGACCTGAGTGTCCACCGATCAAGCAGAAGTTGAGAAGGACTCGTCCCGATATGGCTGACAAGATTAAAGAGGAGGTTCAGAAACAGATCAACGCAGGTTTCCTTGTTACGTCGGTCTATCCTCAGTGGTTAGCCAACATAGTGCCTGTTGCAAAGAAGGATGGCAAGGTTCGGATGTGTGTAGACTACAGAGATCTGAATAGAGCTAGTCCGAAGGATGACTTCCCATTACCTCATATTGACGTATTGGTCGACAGTACCGCCAAGTTCAAAGTCTTTTCTTTCATGGATGGTTTTTCTGGTTATAATCAAATCAAGATGGCGCCGAAAGATATGGAGAAGACCGCTTTCATTACACCGTGGGGAACATTTTGTTATCGGGTTATGCCGTTTGGTTTGAGGAATGCTGGCGCAACATACCAAAGGGCCATGACTGCTTTGTTCCATGACATGATGCATAAGGAGATAGAAGTGTATGTGGATGATATGATTGCCAAATCACAGACTGAGGAAGATCATTTGGAACATTTGTTGAAGTTATTCCAGCGTTTGAGAAAGTACAAACTCCGTCTGAATCCCAACAAGTGCACTTTTGGTGTTCATTCTGGAAGACTTCTGGGTTTCATTGTCAGTCAGAAAGGTATTGAAGTAGATCCTGATAAAGTCAAAGCCATTCGGGAAATGCCCGCACCCAAGACGGAAAAACAAGTAAGAGGATTCCTTGGGAGACTGAACTATATCTCTAGATTTATATCTCTAGATTTATATCTCATATGACTGCTACCTGTGGGCCGATTTTCAAGCTTCTCCGAAAGAACCAAGGATGTGTGTGGACGGAAGATTGTCAGAGAGCTTTTGATAGCATCAAAGAATATTTACTTGAACCTCCCATTTTGATTCCTCCGGTGGAAGGAAGACCGTTGATTATGTACCTGACTATATTGGAAGATTCCATGGGATGTGTGCTTGGTCAACAAGATGAGACTGGAAGAAAGGAACATGCCGTATACTATTTGAGTAAGAAATTCACAGACTGTGAGTCTCGATACTCATTGCTTGAGAAAACCTGTTGTGCTTTAGCCTGGGCTGCTCGCCGTCTACGCCAGTATATGATTAACCACACCACTTGGTTGATCTCCAAAATGGATCCGATCAAGTATATCTTTGAGAAGCCCGCCTTATCTGGAAGAATAGCCCGTTGGCAGATGTTGTTATTTGAATATGACATTGAGTATCACACTCAGAAAGCGATCAAAGGGAGTATTTTAGCCGATCATTTGGATCACCAACCAATTGACGACTATCAATCCATCAAGTTTGATTTCCCGGATGAAGATGTTATGTACTTGAAAGCTAAAGATTGTGAAGAGCCGTTACCTGAAGAAGGACCTGATCC